GTCTCAACTACCGCATTTCCCATTTCTCTTCTCACTGACTCACACCAGCTCAGGTATCACTTTCACATTGATTAAAGTATAGATATGTTAAAATGTATAACTACTAATAAAACTGCATATACAGCATCTGTTAAAGCAACTAACGATCATCAGGCCGGTAGCCAGGGAAGTTCGGGGGGAGGGGGGGCAAAAACCCCCGTCGAAAGAATCCCCCTTTTGCCAGGAATTCCCCTCCCTTTTTTGCCAGGAAATGGTCCCCTTTGGATAAAATTTTATCTAGATACTCGAAGTTTCAGGGTAAAAGGTCCAGTTTTTCAGAAAAAGAACCCCCCCCCCCCTTTGAAATGCTGGCTATGAGCCTGTACATCGACGCATTATGATTTCATCTATGAATTTGTAAAATGCACTTTTCTATCATCAGCAGGACCTTTAATACAAACAGACTTACTGGAGCAATAGCACCACGGAATGAAAATATCTGCATCGCAATAAACAATGAAATTGTAAAAAAAAAAACGTTTATATGCGTTATAGTATAGTGACCTTACTTTTTCATTGTCGACACTAAACGTTCCGATAAAACATCTGAATCTGAACAGAATCGAAAGTTCAGCTATGGGATAGTAACGGAGTAAAATTAATGCACTACATGATCAGATCGTGTTCGTATGAGCACGTGCATCGCCACACGCGTGCTCTACAGTACAGTAACTTACTTATGCTGCTCCGGAGGCACCTGCCCCATGGCAACCATGTATTCGTCAAAAGTAACTATACCGTCCCCAGAAATGTCGGCATTACTGAAGTAGTTCTGGAAGAGAGACATAAAACAACGTGCATACAACATCTATGGCTGAAACACATGCAAGGATGCGGCGGGTTCTGCAGTCTCCAGCCAAAACCAGACGAACACAACTCAAGTACTACGGTCACGCCTCCATTAGCCTTTTTTTCATGGAGACGGTGAGGGGATGGATTTCGAGACCTTGGAGATCGGGATGTTCTGATTTTAGCTGGTGACTGAAGAAAGCGCTATGGTAACTGTTAACACACATGCTATACGTTCATGTGCAAGCTGAATTAACACTCCTTCGCAAAACTAAATATTTCACATCAATAAATTTAGATAATAATAATAATAATAATAATAATAATAATAATAATAATCATAATAATAATAATAATATTTAATTAATCCAACCAAAACATAGACGTTTATTGGTCTGGTCGCTCTTTTGTGCGATTGTGAAATAGTATTTGTTACTGGCGCTGTTTTGGCTGTTAAATGTGCGTCTCTTCTTAAACGTCAGGTGAATACGGTGAATAAAAAAATACATTTATTTCTTAAACATCAGTCTGTTTATCTGTAAATGTTACTTTAATTTTTATGTATGATTGTCATTAGTGTTAGTTTGCTTTGAAAGGTTTGTCTATTTTCACTTAACTGTAAAATGGACGCCGTTAGTAAATATGCCTCTCATATTAGAATCAGTCATTTAAAAAATGTGAACAATAAGGATGTCTGCAATAACCGGGTTTTAAAACATCATTTTGTTTTTTATTACAATACACTGGGTGACATAAAATGGTATACAACGACATAAAGAACATCTGACATAAGGGTGAACATCAATGAACTTACCACTTCTTTGACATAAAATATCAACACACAACAACGACAACAACCATAAAGACGGTAACAGCTACCAAGTAGCTAAAAATAATAATTATAATCTATAAAAACAACAACAGTTGCAGGGCTGCCAACTTTTGAGCACTCTATTCATTTTTAAACTCCATTCCTTTAAGGCGTAATCCTACCGCGAAAAGCGCAGAAAACCAGATCACCACCTTTCAGAGTATCGTTAAGTTTGCAACACTGCAGAGTCTTTTACCACGTCAACGGGGTTGACATTTATCTTTTACACTGACATCAACAACGAAGACATTTACACCATGCGGGGACATCTTTGGTCACTTACATGTGAAGTTCGGGTGGGGCGCCGGTCATGGCGTCCATGTACTCTTTAAAAGTTATTTTACTATCGCCAGAACCATCCCAGTCCCGAAACGTGCTCTGTGGTGCAGCAGGAAAGAAAGAGGAAAATTACATACAACTTATGGTTAGTAGATTCCCTTTTTTATAGTGACTTTGGTGATCATTTTGTATATTGGAATACCAGTCTTGTTCTTCCAGTAGTCCTTATCAGAGGTTTTTGAATATAGCAAACAAATATTTGATAATCCCCCCCCCCCCCCCACACACATACACACACACCCTCTTACATCTGTCTGTTAAGATTATTCCAAAATGAATTTCCATTCGTACTGTCAATAGTCACCATTTCTATGGTGCATTTTCTTACAATGGATTTATTATCACATAATCATAGCTTAGTCATTAATTTCGAAGACTACTTCTCTCATTATCTCGCATCTTAATCTGGTTTCTCCACGCCAGAAATTGCTGCCTTGTATATGAAGGCACTCCTCCCTACCTATAGGAAGATACACCAAAGTAATATTATGTAATATTGTATCACTCCATCTCTTAAACAGTATCTTCCTAAGTATATCAAGTTGCCAGTTAAGTCATCCTGGCACTCCCCTAGAATCGGCTCCATTGTGATTCATTCCACCGATGTTCACTTCTGTACCTCACGTTCGTCTTAACGCCCCGACATACCTGTGGTTTGACGTTTCTTATGTGCATGTATAGCTGGACCATGTATAGAGTCCCAGTGGTAGTTTATAAACGTGAACTCTAATAACTCTCTCTCTCTCTCTCTTTCTCTCTGACTGCCTCTATTGTCTGGTGTTATACAAAACGGCAGCAGACGATTTAAAATGAAAAATGTTAAATTTGCTTGAAATGTATTTATGAACGCATGTACAGTATTTGTTTTCCTTTCAGCGCACATGTTCGATAAATGTTAGTGTAGCAAGTCTCAGTTCTTTTCGTTTCTATATCAATTACAAATTCAATGCAGTTTTGTGCCATCTGGAAGTTCTAACTGAAAAAAAAAACAGCAGAAATTACAAGCCTTAATTTGGGGAAACATTTGCAGTGCCATGAGCATATTTCCTCTAATTCACGCAACATACTAGTAAATTCGATCTTGCTTAACACATTTATAGTTCCTATTTCATCCATCGTATATCCACATTGCACAATTTCCCCTTAATATTTCCCAATCGCCAGCCTAATTTATTCTGTCTTTTTATATCCTGTCACCACACATCCTATTGACACCGAAAATACACTAGTGATAAATTAAACATGCAAGGGACTAAATGATAATGGTATCCGTTTGAGGATGTCAAATGCGGTTTAGGTCTATAATGTGTTTTAGTACCTATATGTGAATCCCAACCACACGTGTGTGTCTCTCACTGACTTAATTGTTTCTGAATTAGTTATCTATGAAAATGTTTCTACTGCTGATAAAGTCATTTCCCAGAGCATTTTGTCTTTTTTTTTTTTTTTTTTTTTTTTTTTTTTTTTTTTTTTTTTTTTATTTAATTTTTTTTTTTTTTTTTTTATTTTTTTTTGTTTTTTTTTTTTTTTTTTTTTTTTTTTTTTTTTTTTTTTTTTTTGTAACTAATCTTTGTTGTTTGATGTTTAGGCGTGTTGCTACTGTAAATATGAACGTAAATTTTAAATGTTTAAATTCATGTATGATACATTAAACAAAAATGTAAAGCATTCTTGATTAATACATGTGATGCCATTTTGCAGTTACTCATTGTCATGAGTGCATACGAGAGCGTAAGTGGGCGACAAGTATCAACTTTATTCAAAATGTAATACCCTTCTTTCTTCTCATTTCTGGGAGGTCGAACATTCTATATTATTCGTAAGATAAGATCATTTTCAGAACCGCTTCATCCTCATTACGCTGGTCGCAGACGACAAATATTGAAAACGTTACGCCACACATTCACTTATCTGTCTCAACGCCAACAGACGTTTTGTGCTCCTTAGAAAAAGATTACATAATTTCCGTTGAAGGACACTGGTGTGACGAATTGTTGACATTTAATAGTGCTGCGAATTCAGTCAAATTATATGCCTGAATGTCTGAATGTCCCGAACCTAAATAACCCATTATGTCATCGTCTGCCCATGCGGAGAGAAATTTTGGATGATTTCCCTACAAGTACGTATAGCAGTGCATCGGCCGGTGCTTATTTCTTGAGTTATTACCCTTCCATGTTAGGAGTCCAAGATCGCGTTTACTTCTTAAATGTATGCCTTCATTACAGATTGATGAGCTAATTGCTAAGATGATTGGCCTAGCAATAACGTTCTCCTTAAAAACGGTTATCAATAATAATAATAATAATAATAATAATAATAACATGGAAAGACCCAGATTTATAACTCCTCTGCGTCTCATTTGAACTCAAACGAGCATTTTGCATTAATATATATTTCTGGCACCTAAAACTTATATTATGAATCATTGTGAGTGGTCGTTACCGGCAACCACGCGTTGCAATGTGTTCGCAATCGTCTCATGGCCTAAAAATGCAATAAAACGATCCCCTAAGAGCCACCTGCTACGGTTTCAATCCCTCTATTATTAACAGCGAAGTGACGAGCGATTATATGAGAATTCTCGCTAGGCTAATCACAGGAAAAGGCACAATATATTTTGTCCATCACTAAAGTGTGCATTGATCTTTAGCGCCGGTTTAGACGACCACAAACTGGGATTTATAATGTAACATTATGGAGCATTTTAATGCAACATTCCTAGCTTAGGGAAGTAGATAATGCTCAATCGGGTATGGCATATTTTAATTTTACCCATATACAGATTCAGCTGAAGGCAGTCTAAGTGTAAAAGATTAATTTAGCGTTCTATCTTCACCAAATCCACTCTAATACGTCCTACGTATGCTATATCTATTGTGATTCATCTGTTGAATCAGAAGAATGTATTTATTTTAACTAAGTCTGGAGAGCCAATAATTAATCATCATCAAAACATTATCAAATATAGGCCTAAACATTTTCGCGCCCTTACCCATTGAATCTACATGCACCCCCACATTCCTTTGTTTTTCAACTGTTCTCTAGTATATAACAAGATCTACAATCAATATACTTAAACGCACTATTATGGAACTCTTATGGTAAATCTGTAGATCTCTAAATCTAGCGTATGGTTTATGTTGTCATGTACGATATTTCAGGGAATTTGCGTGGAGAACGGTACAATATCCTGATCGTTAGTTACCATTTGATCAACGGTAATTGCAGTTCAAGTCTCTAAATGGAACATTATCTATACTAACCATGAACCATTATATTTCCTTATACCAACCATGGGTCATTATATTTCCGTATACCAACAATGCGCATCGATCAATTATGTAGGCTGTGCAATAACTGTGCATTTCTCTGTGCCATTTTAGACTACAAAGTATGTTCAACCGATTGCATGCCCCAAGAGTATTATTCATGATTTTATAATAAAGTGCCTGCTGATATGAAGGCAGTTGCAGAGTGGGTTATATTTGAAACCCAGGGCTCCGTATCTCCAAAGGTTCGCTATGTTGCGCACGTGCGTTAGTGTCTCGATTCCATAACCGATTTTATTTCGAGATATGGGGCCATGGAATCGAGACACTTGCGCACGTACGCAACATAGCGAACCTTTCGAGATACGGAGCCCAGGACGACTTTTAAGTATGTGTTTTACCTTGTCAAACTCTCTGCGATCTTAGTGTGTTCTTTCACGCTATGCACTTGATGACACATCCAGGAATGCTTTTATCTTCTGGTGTATTAATAAAAAGAAA